ATCTGAGGGGAAAATAATAAAAAACCAAATGGTCGGTCCAATATGGCACCTAAAATCTTAAACATAATAATTTTGTTAAAAATGATAATAAAAATGGCTTATTATTATATTATTTAAGAGTTCGCTAAACTCGAATCTGAAATCAAAATAACAAAATACAAAATAGCCGATCAAATATGGCGCCTGAAATTAAAAGAAATGTGTTTAATGTTAAAAACATTTATTAAATTCACTTAGTATTATATATATTATATATAGTAGGTATATTAGGTTGTTTTTAAAATTCCAAAATAAAAATGCTATAGAATTATAATATAATCATGTTTACGTATATCTTACACTATATTGGTTGAAAAAAAAAGTTTTAAAAAATCATGTTCAGAAAAACGTTCAATATTATATGGTACAAAATCGCGTCTTAAACAAAAGGTCGGACACAGTCGGATTCAATATTTAGTATTACAGTTTAAAATACAATTATCTTAAGATAGACATAATTTTTTTATTGGCGAAACCAGGAGAATATGACTTGTGGCTTTTTCTTTAAACTGTTTTTTTTTTTTTTAAATTCACTTGAATATTTCATTAAATACTAATCAGTTGAGCATATTAGAAAATTTTAAAATTATACCTTATATAGAACTGACCTATAGAAGAAAACCCAATTTTAAAAAATTGAAATCGATTCTTTTAAACTTTAGCACTACATTTTTACTTTTCTGAGCGCTGCGTCAACTAACATTTTCACACTAATCATACAAACAGATGCAAAAGGTCGGGACCTTTCTTGGACCCAAGAGAATAAATCCCTAAAATCGATACTTTATTTTTGGATTTATTTGCACGAATTGGGGACCAAATATCACTGTGCACCGGTTGGTGTAGTATATTGATAAAATATTACACTCAAATTCCAAACTCCAATAAAACGAAAAAACGACGGACAGGGAATTTCGGCGGTGGTTGGGCACGATTAGAAAAAAAAATTAAGAGTAAGATTAAGATTCAAATTGAGATTAAGATAATTGCCCATTATTACGAAGAAAAAGCGACGAACTGGCAAAATAGCCATTGTCAACTCAGTTGATACCAGTGTTGCCAGATGTTCTTAAGCTGTAAGTTTCCAGGAAAAAACTTTATTTTCGATCTAAAAAATGTAACCTTCAAAAAAGAAGAGTTTTTTTTTTTAATTTAGCTTTTTTATTTGATTAAGCATAAATAACAGCATAGTAAAAGTAATTATAATAAAAGTTTATATAAAAAGTTTCACCTAATGGCCCTATTATGTATGGCGACTAGTGTCTAGTTGCTGGTCTAGTAGCCATGGCTACCATTATCGTACTTTGTATTATGTCTAGCAATTATTCTTAGTATACAGAAAAGCGTAGACAACATCCGAATTTACTTTTTTGACATGCAAATTTTGAAGTAATTGGCAACTTTTTTTCAGGGTCCTTAACAATTTATGTAAACATATCACAAAATCGTCATGCGCGGGAAACAGAAAATTGAGCTATCAGACTTAGTAGCCGACAGTCAGTAGCCAGTTGCCATACGTGATGCGCATTTTAATATACGGTTGCCGATCGGCTATCAGTCGCCATACATAACAGGGCTATAAGACACACCAAGTTAGAAAAAAGACACGACTTTGTTTATTTAGGAACCAGCATTAAAACCAATAATAATGTCACCCTTGTAATCGAATGGAGAATCACTCTTGCCGAAAAATGCTACTTTGGACTGAGGTGGCAATTCAGGAGTCGTAGAAAAATCACACTCTATAAGTCGCTCCTCATGCCCGTGGTTGGTGTATGAGAGAAAGATTCTGCGATAGATTTACGAACCTTTGCGCATAGGCAAAGACGAGACATGGACATAAAGAAACGACTGGCGTGCTTTGTTGAACTCGGCCAAAATCGCTTAGGCGATTCAGCGCCAAATAATAAGAAGAAGATGACTGTCAAAAGAAGGAATTTTAAGACGGTTTACAACTGAAAATAAATATTTCTGTGGAGGGTTGCCACCTATTTGAAATCTTTAATTTAATTTAATTGATAAGATAGATTAAATATTGCAATATGGGTATCAAAGAGGTTAGGAAACTTTAATGCCAAAAATATTTTTGAGGGGGTTTGTCACTAGTTTGAACAATTTTATTTATTTAAATTGATAAAATATTACACTAAAGAGGTTTAAAAATGTTTACTGTCGAAAATATATTTGAAGCGGGTTACTACCTACATATGGGTCATTCCAGCGGAGACAAAGTGTAAAAAATTGATTACATAGATTTTCTTTAAAACGGTGAAAACAGTAACGTAGAAATAATTGGCGCGTTTCTAAGCCTCAACTGTTTACCTTAGCTGTTGCGGAAATGATGTCAACTGTTGAGTTTCTATCAGAAACGGTCTAATTCTGACTTCAAGTGCTAAAGGTTTGAAAGTTGTCAAATTAATGGTTAAAGAGAATATACTTAAAGTTTGAGAAAAACGAGTCAAAATGTAACACCCGTCACGCTGTAATGCCTCATTTGTTTATGAAAAATTTAATTCGGTTAAATTGATAAGTATTGAATTAGTACACATTTGAAGAAAGTGCGCAATATGTACACTCCAGCAGAGGTGTTAAAGAATGCAATCCTTTTTAACTAAATTATTCATTTGATTGAAGTCCCGAGTGGTTGCAATTATTTTTTGTTAGTCCTGACTAAGACTAAAAAAAAATAGTCTTTACTCTTTTTTTTTGATTTATGATTCATAAATCACTTTTTTATTAATTTCTTGTTAGTCACTTGATTTCAGCCATTGGAATGCATTCTTTTGCAGTACTTTGAATTATTTTCAGGAACCGAGAAAGCGTTCCGGTTTTGGTTTATTTCTGCATGAAAACAAATGGTAATGTAAAAAAAATGTGAACAAAACTCTAAAAAAAAACTTAATGTTAAGAATGAGAGGGACGTCCGCGTGTTGAGATGAGAAATCGTTTCAGTGAAAACCATATATATATATATATATGGTAGACAAATATACAGAAATTACTATGCTTAACCGGACCCGATTATTAAAATAGCGTACCTTAAATACTACAAACCCTTGCCATCTTCGGCCGCAGTAGAAAGACTTTTTTTCGTTTGCTTCATTACTGAATACCCCACGCCGTGCAACGCTTTCTGACCACAATTTCGAAAAATTGCCGTTGCTGAAAGTTAACGGAGACGCACAAATAAGTTTCAAGGATCATTGTTAATTTTTTTGGAAACATGTTCGCATGCACTTTATTATTTTTTCATTTACATAATATGTACGAATTATGTAAATATAATAAATACAAATTTATTTCATTGGAAGTTACTGGAATTAATTGACATTTTCTAACTATTTTATATACTACTGGAGTTTTAATTAAGCTTTTTGTGTCCTCATTTGTTTTCTAAACAAATTAAAAAGTGTACTCAAAGATTGCTTTAAATTTTCATTATTCACCTCAGACTGCAAAAACGACTAATTAGTCACGAATAACAGAAAATACTAATGACTTCATTTTTGCAGTCTTTAGTCAGACAGGTGATTGATTGGCTGCAGTTAAAAAGTGTTAGTCAGTGAATGTGACTGCAACGATTTAAAGTCACGAAGACTGCATTCTTTAACACCTCTGCACTCCAGTTATATTATAAATTAAATTTCCAGGAGAAAGCCACATTCATAAAAACAAAAAATGTTTGAAAAACTCACTTCATAAAGCTCCTTAAATCTGTTAAATTTTGTATAAATGAAGCCATAATAGTTTTCGGAGGTAGTACCAACACAAAATTACTTTTAAGGCGTAGTGAAGCGCGGTGGGCATTTGATAGAAAACAATGCCTTTTATTAAAAAAAAAAGAAACGGGTAAAAATTCCTTTGAAGTGAATTGAAAAAAATTTATTACATTTTTCAACTCCTTTCAAGCGATTTGGAAACATAATTACATTACTAGCACGTAATTAATTCCAACTACAAAATCAATTATCAACATGTGAAACTATCATTAGTGTCGACTTTGACTTTGACTATGAATACATCGCAAAAAAATTTTAAAAGAGTTTTTTCTTAACAGCGTTCGCATTTCAGCAGACAATGGTAAAACCTCCGAGGGTATTACGGCCATGAAAAACAGCTTATCATAAAAATACAATCGTCATTCGGAGTCGGCGTAAAACTGTAGATCTTTCCCATTTGTGTGACAACATTAAAGCGCACGCCACAAATCGGAGGAAAAGCTCGGCCAAACACTAACATATGTGTAAGCGCCAATCTATTATTATTATAATGAAAGTCTATTTCTCTTTTATATTGGATTTTTTTTTTTTAATTGCCGCCGCAGAGCTACATATTTGATAGCTTGTGACAAGCAAAGTAAATTAAAAATAAATGCAGTCAGCTCATGTACATAGTTCGTTTAAAGCATTTTTCTTTAAGCTTATTTGACCCCAAAACGTTTCAATATTTTCGATCAAATTTCAAAAGTTGTCACTGCATACATACGTATGTATGTATACACATATTTTCTCTTTTTCATATACCAAAATTTGTGCTTCGCGGAAAATTTATGTATCTCACGAAATGAGCTAAAAAATAAAGTACCTTCCGAAAATTTGCACAAATTCGTATCACTTTTAAAGCAAATGGATCAAAACGGCAACACTGCATACATCACCGATTTCAAATGAATCAGCAACCAAAGTTTTTGGGTGTTTTACGCTACAATATCACAGATGCATATGTGCGTGTTAAATGTATATGTATATATATATATTTATGTGCATAAGTTTACCAGTTCCCAGTTGAATCTCGCTTGGACGTTCGCGCAAAATTTACATTACTAAATATATTGTTTTTGTATTTTATTTTACGATTGGGTTTCTCCGTACGCTCTTAAATGAATCATATAAACAAACAAAAAAGAAATAAATTGCAACTGAGCGAAAGACATCAATCACATATATACATACCTACCTGCAGCTCGTAACTACAAAAACCGTTTAAATTTTTTATATTTCAGTGAAATAAACCAAGTAAGACATTACAAAGCTTTAGTACATTTTAAGACACCGTACGCCACAGTCGTCTACTAATGCTTACACTACCATACAATACAGCAGAAAAAGCCAGATATTAAAGTGTCGTGCAAGGAAAGTGAAGTTCGGGCAGCTATAAACGGCCGCGTGTTTGAAACGAACCCACAACTCGAACCGACTAAAAGTTCACGAAATTTGTTTTTACTTATATATATATATGTATACATGTATTTATGAACATCACCAACGGTTTTACAACGGGGTGTTTGTTGTGCGCATTCATTTGTGAGCAGTGCGTTAAAGTGAGAGTTTGTGTCTTAAGTCTTTCGATTTCCCAATACGAAGCTGGTATGTGTGCGTGAAAAGCAATAAAGAAGTAGAGAAAAAAATATGCAAATGTTCAAAATTCGTAAACTAACCAAGTTTAGTGGGTGAAAAGATTTATTAATGAATTAAGGAAAGCAAATCTTGGGTTCATATATGTATATATGTATATATGTATATACATACATATACTTAGCACACAGTACGTGCCAAGTGTTTGTTTTCAAAGCATTTTTATATAATGTATAGTGTTTTGCATAAACTAAAAGTTTGTTCACAATATTTAAGAGAGTAAAAGTTTCGTAACTACTGATGTTTACATACATACATATGTATGTATGTTTATTTAAGCGTGAAAGTTTTGCGAATTGAATTTTGAAATATGTGCATATTGTATACTTATATTATGTAGTGTATGTAAGTATGATGTACAGAGGTTTCAAAACAAAAAGTGTATCATATAGAATTGTGAAATTAGCGCCATCAAAGGCTTAGCTTCAAATCAATGCTTGAAAATGCGATTTTTTAAGATATAAGTGCAGACATATGTACATATGTATGTATATCAAGATATGGCTGTATGCATCTGCGCCCTGTGCTCTTTCACTCTGTATAGATGTGAGTGTATGCTTCTTAGCGAAAGTGGATTCATATTTGTATGCAGATGTAAATGTATGTATGTATGTATGCGGTATGTTGTACATAAATCGAATGTGCACATTTATAAAAGAAATTGTTGGCAACTTTCTAACATTATACTAAAAAATATGGATATAAAAAATTAATTTTAAGAATTCTTAACTGGGAGATATACAAGTATAGTTTGGAACTTCTTTACTGGTTTATTAAGGTCGGCTAATGATATGTTCTATATTCCATTGTATATACATTCATATTTTATTACGTATGATTGTTTCCATAAAAATGTAAACCGAAAATGCAAGTAAATGAACTCAAATGGCCTTATAACTCAAAATTTCGTATTCAGATGGCGAAAGAAGGTTATGAAAACGTGAAACGGTGGAGAGAAGAACTGAAAAAATTAAATAAAAAATTTAATTTAGTATGTGTTACTAGTAAAAATACGGGAAAAATCTGTTACGTCCGTTATCACATTTTAATTCAAAATTAAACCAACAACGAAATGCTTTTAAAAATGAATTAAGTAATACATAAAATTAAGAATATCTAAAGGCTGAATTCTTTACTTATTTTCTCATAATTGTGCTGTTGCATTTTAACGAATCCAATTCGGGCCGGCTTAGGTCATGAGAGCACCGCATTGAAAAAAAAAATTTATTGTTCACATTTCTTATAAATTATAAGCTTTTTCATGGAGGAGATCCAACAATTCCACCTACGCTATCTCGCCCAGACTGTTGAATAAGCGTAGGTCCAAGTGATTGAGGCGCTTCAACTGTAGGCCCGTACATCGACACGGAATGTGGTCAATTGATTCTGCAGGTTTGGTAAATACTCTTACTGCAGATCTATTGGATGTCAGAAGGTCTTTGGCATTTTTCCTATAAAGCCGTGGCCATAGTAGTCTTGCGATCTTACAGTCTTCCCTTTTGTTCTAACGTGATCACTGAAGGTTGCTAGTACGGAGCTATCTGACTCATTAGTTGGCATAAAGAATTGCGATTTTTTCAAAAAGGGGCAGAATGGCGCTGGAAAGATTAGTTATATATTAATCTACTCACTTTTGTTAATACCTTATAATTTGCAACTCTTTGCACTAGCTTGCCCTTTGAAAGTTATTGTCTACGAAAAACGACTACAATTGTAAGGTTCAATCTCATACTATACATAAAAAACATTGAACAATCGGACAACAAAACACAATAAATAATAACTAGAGGACCATCAAATCTAATTTTACATATCTGGACTAATGTTTTCCATAATAACACTTTTTTCAATGTTTAAACTTTTTGAACCACAAGACTTAAAGTTAAGTAATATTTCCTCTAAATTCTTCTAAATAAGCACTCTAATGAAAAAAATATCGCCATCAGGATTTAATTTGAATACGTTTTTACTAATTGGGATATTCAGATTTAGGAAATAAGTTGAATTTTAAAATACAACACCAAAAAAATTTGACTTTACTAATGCCAAAAATATGACCATTCGCCGCCTCCATTAACTAAGTTATCATTGACAAGAATTTTCCTGTGATAAGTATCGCCAAATCGTCGGCCCCTATTCTATTAGTTTAAAGTATTTTCAGAATTTCGTTCACTCACCACCAGGCGCCAGAGAAGAAGTGATTGTACCTCCCCTGGAGGCGTGCCCCTGATGGTTTTCCTTCTCCCAGATTCCATACCTACGGTCGTGTTGATTACTCTGCTCTCGAGCATGGAGTCAATCCGTGCTATAGGTCGCTGAACACCATGTTCAGAGAGTGCACTACTTATTATTACATTGTCGAGGGCTCCTTCATTATTAATTATTCCACTTATTTTTGATTTTAACGATTTCACACAAATTTTATGTTTTCTCTTCACCGTTTCCGTATTTCGATTTACGAATTTGTATGCAATCGAAATTTCGAGTCGAAATTTAAATATATTAAATTTTACAGTTTCGAAAATGGGAGAAATGGGGTTTTCAATGCCCGGCTAAATACAAGGACTGTTTTACCGATCACATGTTATATGCATGATTTCGAAAACTTCGATAATGATGTTTAACTGGGAGATAGTGATAACCAGACATTGGGCAACCGGGCCTTAATATACTTAGAAAAGCAAAATTACAACAGAAATGTTTATTAAATAGTATAAAGCACCTGTTCCTACAAGTCTGCGCGTATGTGCCACTACTGACTTCAACGCAAAATTATATGTTTACTCAAGTTCCTGCAATAAACATAAAACATAACGTGTTTCTTTTCTATTTACCTCATAAAAGCTGTCATGATGAGGTAAACACACAATTTAACAGTACTTTGGTTAACAACTTCCACTAAGCCAGTGGTACGCAGGCTCACTCGCCTAAATGCTAGTTCATATATGAACTTTAGGCAACCGTAGTGTTATGCTATATAAATACAAACATATTTATCTACATATGTATGTTTCTATGTACATATGTATCTAAGTATGTGCATTGTACATTAGCTGATGCACATAAATAACAAGTGTCTAGTTAATTGCGTATGTATGTAAATATGTACATATTTGTGTCGGTGCCAACGGTCAAAAATATTAGCGGTTCATCTTTGCATAGCATAGACATAAGCCGCCATTGAGCTCAGCACTAAAAATTTGTATTTTTTTTACTGTAAGTCGCTAAAGCTCTTTAAAGTTCACACACTTAAACATAAATAAATATGCACACGCATAGGTGCAAATTACCAAGGTTGTTACTAAATTAAGTGGACATTCTATGACTACTATTTACGGGAACTACATGATCACATACATATGTATGTACATATAGTACACTCCTAGTCATTTGAATAGAGCGCCTTTTTGATTCTCAGTGCCTAGAGTTTGCCTTTTCTTTTATTTAATATTAATTAGGTTTTTATAAAAATTTAGCAAATTCTAGAAAAAACGTATAAATCCGATTTTAAAATTTTGTACAAATTAAAAAAAAATTAACAAAGGGGTACTTTATTCTTATTTAATAATTTAATAAGTTAATAATATTTTTAGAATTTTTCGTATGTGCAGTTTTAGTTTTGTAGCCATTCAATAAAAAAGCGTTGATATTTGATACCTTTTTTTGTTGACGGTGCTGCGCATTTTCTTCCACATAAACATTTTTTCGAACATACTTTGTATGAAAAAAATGCATGACACCAGTGTTGCCAACTTTTCAGTTTCAAAAAGCACCAAATCTTGGGAAAAAAGAGCGTTTTACCGCACTAAAAGCACTAATTTTTTTTTAATCAAATGATACTTTCTTTTATAACAGTTTGTGGTAAACTAAAGTAAAAAATTAAACAATATTCACATGTATAAATAAATACACATTCATGCTTGCGAAGTAATACCGAAGTACTGCACATTAAAACTGGTACATCTGGAGAAGGAACAATCGAATCGCAACAAACGAAATTGAATTTTAAAGGGGAAGAGCAATATGTACTTAATGATACCCTAAGTAGAAATGAACTGGTGTAATCAATCAATAATCAAGAAAATAAAAAAATAAATACTTAACTTATCTGAATGCAAGAACGTGGGTTTGCAACTTCATCCTTTTATCAATCATGGTTTGCTTTTTAGTGCATATAATTTGTAGATTCTTGTAAATTCAGAAATTTTTGTTCAGAAAAAAGCACTAAAAAGGGCACTAGGCACTAAACCATTTTTTTTTTGGCGTTTTAATTTTCAAAAAGCACTAAATCTAGTGCTTAAGGCACTAAGTTGGCAACTATGCATGACACTGTCAACAAAAAAAAAAAAAAAATGTCCAAAAATCGACGGTATTTAGTAGCCACTTGGATATTGCAATTTATTGTATTAAAATTGCAAGGGCTGTAAATGTCATTACCCAATTCACTGTTGGTCATTAGGATGACGCACTCCCTTGTTGACGTGTTTTATTTAATTGTATACACTATATTTATATAAAAAATGAGTGAATACATATTAAATAAACAAAGGGGAAAACTGTAAATGCTGAGGTTAAAAGGGTGCGCTATTCAAATGACTGAATGAGTGTTATCTGCATACCCACATTTCAAATGAAGAAACCAAGCTATAGAATACGTAAATATTCAGGTCCTCAGCAAGGCGAACGTGAAAGGTTTATACATACATACATATACATGTGTATGTTTGTACGCCGGAAAGTGTGTGCCGGTGTATGATTTTTGTTTTGAATGAAGATAAAATTATACTCAATACATTTGGCATGTGCCTCTCGGACGTTGGTAAATATTTAGAGTCTAGTGCCATTGATGTTGGTATTTTCTTTTTCTTTCGCCGCGCATTTCCTTGATTTTACTTCCTTGTTTGTAATTGTAAAATAAAGCAATTGTTGTTACTTCACTTTTGCATGAGACA